TACTCTGTTTAATTAATAGTTCTACTGTTGTTTTAGGCAATAAAAACTGGCGGATGGCGATTGAGAAGGATAGCCAGCACATTTCCTCACTGGCCAGCAAATATCCAGGAAAACGTCCTGAAGATCTTTTGCAGAAATAAGGATTGGCCTGAAGAAGTAAGTTCTTTAACGCAGTTTTTCCGCTGCGAACGAAATATTTGGGGCTCATTGTTGTGCGGTTGAGCCGAATTGCACTTTCAGACACGTAACGCGTTTTGTTCCTGCATTGTTTCGACTTGTTTTGTCAATGTCAGAGCGGGCAAACACGTTACTGTTCGGTATAAGGCCGAGCACGAAAACATACTGAAAGAATTTGTCAAGAAAAACGATGTGCGGATTGAACTGCCAGCGTTTAATGATAAGCAAGTTCTTTTCTATTCTGGCGATCGCTTTTTCACCGTAACTGTGGGACTAGTTGGAAATTTCAAAAGTATCACAATCATGTTTCAGTGACAGGCGAACGTAACTTAGGAATAATAAGTTTTTTAAAAAATTAGTTTCGGACATTAATACGGAGAATATCAAGACGCCCGGACAGTCTTTGCTAGGATGGCATGTTAATGATGGCGCCGGGATGCTCTGGGCCGGTGCAGCTTTGCCAGGCCTTCTTATCTGGGCTGCACATCTCCAGCTTTACCTGCCACAATAAAAATATGTTTTTTATGCGTTTTTTGCAGCAATGCAATGCGAAAAGCGCATATTGACGAGAATTTGCCTGTGTGTCCGTGTGTCTGTTTGTCTGTGTATGCGCCTGTGACGAACTTTGATCTCAGGACCTGTAAAAGCTGCGGGGCTGAAATTTCGGGAACTTAATCTACATGCACGTGCCGGCCCCAATCCCCAAAAGCGCCAAAACTCGCGTGGTACCCGCGTACGGGCCCCCCAAAGTTTTTTTGGGATCAGCTCATAACTGGGGGCGACAAAACCCCGCATGGTACCCGAGTACGGGCCCCCCAAAGTTTTTTCGGAGTCAGCTCATAACTCGAGGATCTGAGAAGCTAGAAGGCTGGTATCCACGTACGGGCCCGCCAAAGTTTTTTTGGGGTCGGTTCATAACCGAGGATCTGAGAAGTTAGAAGGCTGGAATCTTGGGGTAGTGTTCCCCGCCCAACCGGGTATTAGTGGGCTCAAACCCAGCCCCCGGGTAAGCGTAGTCCCGCGTACAAGCCCGCCAAAATTTTTTTCGAATAAGTTCATAACTCGGGGATCTGAGAAGCTAGAAGGCTGAAATCTTGGGGTAGTGTTCCCCGCCCAAGCGAGTATTAGTGGGCTCAAACCCACCCCCCGGGTAAACGTGTTACCCGCGTACGAGCCCGCCAAAATTTTTTTCGGGTAAATTGATAACTCAAGTGCCTGAGAAGCTAAAGGAACGTAATTTTAAGAGGATATACCCCGTCCACCTAAGTTTCATTCAGCTCATGTGCTTGGTAAGCATGCACGGGTCCGTGGAAATCTTGTTCCAGTAAGTTGCTAACTCAGGTGACACGGAAGCTAGAAAGCTGAAATTTTAAGGAGATGTTTTCTGGCGGCCAGTCTTAATTTGTTTAGCTAGAAGCATTTGCCGAAAAAACCGGTGCCGGTAGCA